CTGGAAACAAGGAACTCCAGACAGCAAACAACCAAGTGTCAGTTAACAACTCCTGGAAACAAGGGAACCAGACAGCAAACAACCAAGTGACAGCTAACACCTCTTGGAAATGGGAACTCCAGACAGCAAACTCCTGGAAACAGGAACTCCAGACAGCAAACAACCAAGTGTCAGTTAACAACTCCTGGAAACAAGGGAATTCCAGACAGCAAACAACCAAGTGTCAATTAACAACTCCTGGAAACAAGGGAATTCCAGACAGCAAGCAACCAAGTGTCAGTTAACAACTCCTGGAAACAAGGGAATTCCAGACAGCAAACAACCAAGTGTTAATTAACAACTCCTGGAAACAAGGGAATTCCAGACAGCAAGCAACCAAGTGTCAGTTAACAACTCCTGGAAACAGGAACTCCAGACAGCAAACTCCTGGAAACAGGAACTCCAGACAGCAAACAACCAAGTGTCAGTTAACAACTCCTGGAAACAAGGGAACCAGACAGCAAACTACCAAGTGCCAGTTAACACCTCCTGGAAACAGGAACTCCAGACATCAAACTCCTGGAAACAAGGGAACTCCAGACAGCAAACAACCAAGTGCCAGCTAACATCTCCTGGAAACAGGAATTCCAGACGGCAAACAACCAAGTGCCAGTTAACACCTCCTGGAAACAGGAACTCCAGACAGCAAACTCCTGGAAAAAAGGGAACTCCAGACAGCAAACAACCAAGTGTCAGTTAACACCTCCTGGAAACAAGGGAACTCCAGATAGCAAACAACCAAGTGTTAGTTAACAACTCCTGGAAACAAGGGAACTCCAGACAGCAAACAACCAAGTGTCTATTAACAACTCCTGGAAACGGGAACTCCAGACAGCAAACAACCAAGTGCCAGTTGACATATCCTGGAAATGGGAACTCCAGACAACAAACAACCAAGTGCCAGTTAACACCTCCTTGCAATGGGAACTCCAAACAGCAAACTACCAAGTGCCAGTTAACAACTTCTGGAAATCCAAACTCCAGACAGCAAACAGCCAAATGCCAGTTAACAACTCCGGAAATGGGAACTCTGGACAACAAACAACCAAGTGCCTGTTAAACACCTCCTGGAAACAAGCGAACTCCAGACAGCAAACAACCAGTTAACACTTCCCAAACAGAGGGTGCCTCCAGGCAACAAAGACCAGGCTACCTCTCTGCAGATACTCTCATTGGTTGACTTTGCAGCTTCCTGGCTACTCAATGCTATTCAAGCTTGCTAAATACAACATCCACACTTGCTTCAAACAGACAAGGATTCTTCCTCTCACCGTGGACATTATTCCTGTCTCATCCCTGGACTGCACAAGCCTCCAGTCCTCAATGAGTAGCTAGACTTAGATATGGGATTAGAATGAGGGATTCCTTTACCCACATTCCTATGCATGATTTTCCCAGAAGGGGCTTTACTTTTTGAGCCTAACAGTTCCAATTCCCAACAATTTCTTATGTATATTATATACCCTCCACTTGCTTCATCCCCAACAGACCTCTGAAGATGACATTAACCAAAGATACAGGCAAAACAACAGGAGAAAATGCTACTGGAGCATGGCCAGACAGCCTGAAAAACTCATAGCAACTTTCTATGAGATATTTGTTGACAAACTATAGCAAAATGTGCTGCAAGATGTCTTTCCTGCACAGGCAAAGTTTTGGCAGTTTAATAAACTTTCCCCATATTTTAAAATTCTAGAGCCAATTAGTAAATAATCACATTAATTACCCAGGAACAAAAAAATGTGTTAAGTGGAGTAACAGGACGCAATCGATTCAAATGGCAAGCCAAGAGATTTCACCTGAACGTTAGGAAGAACCTCCTGATGGTCAGAGCTGTTCAGCAGAGGGATGTGCTTCTGCTTTAGTGGAGCCACTAAAGCAGAGATTGGATGGATGGCCATCTGTCGGGAGGGCTTGGATTGTATCTTCCCACAATGCAGAATGAGGCCAACTGCATGACCTTTGGGGGATATCTTCGAATCCTAACTGACTGTGCTTCTTGGAGTCTAATTAAGTCTCCTTCTCTGGAGTTTTATAGACAGAGGCTGGATGGCCATCTGTTGGGAGGGCTTGGGTTGTATATCTTACAGTAATGGCATTGTGTGGCCGGGCATTAAGCACTGAGAGTGATATTCAGTAGTGACGATCAGCAACGCAGCCCTGTTGTGCCTTGGTTTGGAAACCTTTCCCCTTCTTTCATCTCAGGGCCAAGTGCCCACTGTTTGGGGGGCTTTCCCCTCCCCCAAGTTGGGCTGGTCAAGCGGGGAGGGTGAGGCCGGAGGGGGTGGGCTGCCGTTCGGCAAAAGCTCGCTAGAGGGTGCCGCGGGTCAATCTATGCAAGGAATGGGTGAAGGACAAGTCTGGCAAGCAGAGCTCCAGAAGTGTCCCCATAAGCGACAGCATAGCAGGCTGGGGGCAGGCAGGGACCGAAGCCCCTCCACCACCCTCTTTCTGTCGTGTG